GAAACAAACAATTGGAGTCAAAAAAGAAATCAAGGAATAAATTATTAGACCCAAATGTATTCTAAATTTTTGACTCATCAAAGTAGCCACTTTTGGGAGATATAACAGCTGAACACACCCATTGCGTTCTTTCTAGAGATGGACCGATCCGATATTGCGTATCGGTACCTAAATTACTGGATCGGATATCGGAGAGAAATAAAAAATGTAATCCGATCCATTAAATATCACAAAAGCACCTCAGAAAACTTGCGACATGGCGTAACTCGTCGGAGCAGTATGCGTCATGTGATAGAGCGGCTGTGGCGTGTGAGACCTGTCTGTGGTCAGGTTGAGCATTTGGAGCCTCGCTACCAAACCGGCATTTCATCTCCGAGAAAGTTATCCCAGAGAGAAGTAAAGCAAGTGTGTAAGTTCATCTCTGGATGTTTGTAAAGCATTCCCACGTTAAGCTTAACAACCGAAATATGGAGCGACTGCCTCTCTTCAATCATGAAACTGATCAATAATCAGCTGATCGGCTTTTCTGTCGCGAGTTCGTCTCTCTTGTAAGTTTATCGCCCACTTTGTACCAGAAAGAGGAAACCAGCACCAGGATCCTTTTCTACTGTGCAGGGGCGGGTCTAGCAAAGTTTAGCCGGGGGGGCCAGGTAGGGCATTAACAGGGAAAGGGCACAAAGAAATACTTTTCTTTCTTATTCTCATTTAAAATGTCTCGCTTTAATAAATAATTATCTGAATCTTACAACCAAAGTTTTAATCTGATGTAAAATGTATAGAAGTCCATTACTGTATATAGTAACTAATAAGTCTAATATACCCTAGTAAGCTAGTACTTTTTCCTTCAGAAATGTACCATCTGTGCAGTCTGCAATTCTGTTGAAGTAAGATGTTGAAGCTATTTAATTATTGTGGAAAAATAATCTATTTCTGAGCTTTTTATTTTTTTATGCGTGAGTTAAATTAAAGTTGATTATGTCGATTAAGCATCACGAGACGGAGGGTGCTTAATATTTCTGAGTACTCTTTAAAATACCAGAATAGGGAGGTGGTTGCAGGTTTAAGTGTATTAGATTGATCAGTTTTGCTGAACTATGAAATATTTGGGGTGCAGTGTATGTTTTGCATACAGGTTTAACAGAATAGCTTTAGTTAAAACTTGAGTATGAACTTATACAAAATGCAGCAAGATATTAAAAAAAATAGTTTTATTGATTAAGAAATACACTATTGGATTCATATCGGTATCGGCAGATATTCAAATTTATGATATCGGTATCGGACATTAAAAAAAAAAAAAAAAAAGTGGTATCGTTCCATAAATGTGTGGCACTTGTAGGTTGCTTTGCTTTCACCCTTTTGTCCAGTTCATCCCAAACCAGCTTGATGGGGTTTAAGTCTGGAGGCTGTGCTGGCCACTCCATGTCTTCAAGCTTACAACCTTGTTCGTTCTCCTGAGGTACTTCTAGCGTAGCTTGGAACTATGTTTTGGGTCATTATCTTGCTGTAGGATGAACCCCTGACCAACTAGGCACATACCAGAGGGTACTGCATGGTGCTGCAGAACGCTGTGGTAGCTGTTTTGGTTCTGGGTGCAAAAAGTCCCAGACCTTCACACTTCCTCCATGTTTGACAGTTGATGCCACCACTGTGGAACGATCCTTGCACCTACTTAATGGTGTACAAAGATCCTGTGTGATGAAGCCAAGATTTCAAATCCATTTTCATCAATCCATTATACTTTCTTCCAGTCTTCAGTAGTCCAATGGCAGTGTTTCATGGTCCAGCCAAGCCTCTTTGTCTTATTCTGAAATCTCAGCAATGGCTTTCTTGCTGCAATTGGTCCTGTCAAACGTGCAGCTTGAAGTCTTCTCTTCACAGTTGCAACTGAGACTTAAATACTACGACCACTATTAAGCTGTGTTTGAAGCTGATGTCCTTTGAGCAGCCTATCAGCTGTTAACACTCAGAAACTTGTCCTCTGATTCAGTTGTGGACTTTGGGTCTGCTAGACCTCTTTCTGTCAGTTTTCTCCAGTTTCTGAGTGCCTTTTGATGGTAAAGGAAACTGTACGCACTGACATTTTGACTTTCCTTGCAACTTCTCTGTAGGAAAGACCTACATTTTTAAGTGTTATGATGGTCTGTCCCTCTTCCATTGTTAATTGCCTTTTTCTCACCATTTTTGTAGAAACAGTACTTTCTGCAGCACAAAACTGTTCAGCTGATGCTCACGAGGGTATGGTATCACAGTGTGTTCCAACACTGCTTTTATGCAGACAGGATAGTTGTAACTAATCCAGAAAAGTTGGAACACCTCTAGCTTTCAAGGCCTGATCAACCTCCACTGCTGTAGAACAGCTTTAAATTATTAACCCATTTTGTGGTCTCGGATAGCCGGCCCGCCGGTGAAGGAGAGCCATTCGTGACTTTTTGTAGAATTCTGAAATGGACATTATTTTTCAGTTTTGGGAAACCTTTCTTCCTTTTTTTTTTTTTTAATTTATTTTTTTTATTTAAAACCTTTGGCAGTTCAACACTTACCTTTGTACCATTTCAACCTGTTCATTGGACTTGAACAACATAAATTGCAGTAAATAATAGAGAAATTTGGGTGTTCTAAACTTTTGACCGGCAACGTATTTCAAACACATAATTGACAGAGACCAACCGATATTGAAACTACATCATGGTCTGGTTGTCTTGTATACCCTAGATTTAATTTTTTGTATGACATTTGGACAAAAGGGTCCAAATGTCATAATACAGTAATTTCACTTCATTTCTCTCAGATGTCCTCCAAAAGTATTTTATTTTGACCATCTTAATTGCACTATAGTGGTCCCTCATTTATCGCGGCAGTTACATTATAGGTGAAATCTGCGACATAGCCAACTTTAATTTTTACAATTATTATAGATGTTTTAAGGCTGTAAAACCCCTCACTACACACTTTATACACTTTTCTTAGACAGGCATGAACATTTTCACTTTTTCCTCTTGTTTAAACACTCTCAAACTTAAAACCTTTGTAGAAAAATAAGTCCAGTATTATAGAATGAAACCAACGGCCCCTGCAGGTGCCTTTGACAGTGCAAAACATTTCATTGATATTATGTTTGTAAGTTTTCTCCCCAGCAAACAACAAAGTACAGCACTTTAGTCACACTGGTAGAAATTGAAGATTTATGTAAATTTGACAAGCTGAACGCATTCTCTACTGGACAGCAGACACGGCACGGGATTGACAATGGTCTACAGCTAATCAGGACGCGGAACACAAAGTGCTGTTTAAATGTAATAAAAAAAATAAATAAATAAAAAAAGCCCGCAAAATTGCACACAAAAAAAATCCGCAAAACAGGTGTTATAGCGAGGGACCACTGTATTTCTAATTAGATAAAAATTTGGTTTGGGTAAAGTTTTCACCAGCAGGTGGCAGCACATTACTGGAAAGTCTTAATGTAATGTAGCTCCCAACCCCTCTCAAGTTGGGAGCTACATACAAAAAAAGTCACCATTTGCCCTGACTTAAGCAAATCATATAAAGGAATTGTTTTTGTATGAAAAGTTTCTCACAAAAAGCTACCTTAGCAAACATATATGAACTGGTAGAAACGGGAAGTAGTCTCATTAAAAAAAACTAAACAAAACAAAAAACGACAAACTCTGTAAAGCTGCTCTGAAAGCTGCTCCAGAGTTATTTTCTCCTGAACGGAGCATGGTGTCGTTCTGGGAGGATCTAGTGGTGATGACGGGGCCACCAACCTGTCCCTTTGACTAGAAGGCCAGTACTTCCTCTGACTCTCCATTATATTTCCTACACCTTTCAGGGCAGAGAGCATGCTACATTGAGTGACTGCACCATTTTATGGCACAAAGTGGTATTACATGAAAGTACTGCTGGGCCCCATTTCAGCTTCAGCTTATATATCCTCTTTAAGTGTTTTGGGCAGTAAGATTCACTGGTTACTTCTCCAGATTTTGTTCATATTCTGTAGCTATAGTTCATGTTGAAAGTAAAACAGAGTAATTTATCAAGTTTGAACCTATAAGAAAAGCTTGAGATATCTTCCTGTTTACTGCAGCTGCTCCACGGGATGGTGGTGGATACATCGGTAGTCTTTCCCCACCGCCTGGGCCCCCCTCACAAACTGACCCTCAACAAGCTCACAGCTGAATACCTCAGAAGGATCATTCAAGAGAGTGGTGGGTTACCACTATGCAAATGGTTTCTGTCACTATAATATCATTACATTCCAAATAAAGATGACTTATTAATATGACTTATTATAACATTAAATGCCACAGACTCATGCAGCAGATATCAGATTTATTTCTGAAGATACTGACTTCAGTTGCATTGATTTTTTTTTTTTAAAAAGATTCTTTTTTTCCCCCCTTAGTTTGTGGCCATGACACTGCAGAAGATGCTACTGCCTGTATGGAGCTGATGCTGTGGAAAGTCAAAGAAGATGGAAAATTGAAAAAATGATGGAAATAAAATTATTCCTGTACACTTCATGTGGGGGGAGGGGGGACAAATACTAGCAGTGATTCAAATGTATTATTTTGTGTAAACCTCGTTCAGGACACGGAAGGCAGTTAGTTTTTTGTTAGTGTGATTTATGTTAATGTGTTCTGTATGTAAAATTTCAATTTGGAGCCCATCTTCCATATATGTATAAATGTTGACCACATGTAGTGCCAAGAGGACCCACAGTGGTGACTTTTCATGAGCAGTACTCAAGTAAAGGCATAGAATGAATTTTGTGTTTTCCTTTCTTAAAGCAAAACTCAACAGCCAATCAGCATTCTGTTTTTAATGTGAGATTAACTTCAGGTACACTTCTGCAAATCATTACACCTGTCTTCAGTTAAAATAATCAGTGGTGATGCATAAAGAATAAGATGGTGGGAAACTCAACATACATGAAAGAAAGTCTCATGTAGGTAACAAATATTGCCCCGGCACAACACTCACAGCACCTTTTTCAGTTGTTATTCAGCCTTCCTTTTGGTCTTTCCTCTCCTGACACAGTACTTGTGCAGACAGAAACTGCAGGTCTTGATGAAGATGAATATGAGGAGTAAAACTATAGCGAGGAAGAAGCCCAGGACATCCAGGCTGTGATACTGGTACCAGGTGAGCTCATGGGCCTGGACCCTCAAGTGCTTGGCCCCTTTGTTTTTCAGTGTGAACTCGATCCAGAATACTGCCTCTTCCAGAGCACTCATGGGTCTGTCGTGGTGGATGCTGGACAACCGCATAGCATTTTCTTTGTACCTGTGAATGTGTATAAATTAGAAAAAACATTGTAAAAATGAATATCATTCATTATGGGGCGATCGTGGCTCAAGAGTTGGGCGTTCGCCTAGTAATCGGAAGGTTGCCAGTTCGAGCCCCGGCTCGGACATTCTCGGTCGTTGTGTCCTTGGGCAAGACACTTCACCCGTTGTCTACTGGTGGTGGTCAGAGGGCCCGGCAGCCTCGCCTCTGTCAGTGCGCCCCAGGGTGGCTGTGACTACAATGTAGCTTGCCATCACCAGTGTGTGAATGGGTGCATGAATGGATGTGTAAAGCGCTTTGGGGTCCTTAGGGACTAGTAAAGCGCTATATAAATACAGGCTATTTACCATTTCTTTGCTTTTTCATTAATGAAAAAGCCATAAAACTCCAGACCATAAAAACTCCAGAAATTTGTATACAGAGGTCATTAAAGTTCTTCTCTCGCCACATCCGGTCGCAGCAGATGGCTCCGCCCCTCCCTGGACCTGGTTCTGCCGAAGGTTTCTTCCTGTTAAAAGGGAGTTTTTCCTTCCCACTGTCGCCAAAGTGCTTGCTCATAGGGGGTCATATGATTGTTGTTGTTTTTTTCTCTGTATCTATTATTGTACGATCTATTGTACAATATAAAGCGCCTTGAGGCGACTGCTGTTGTGACTTGGCGCTATATAAATAAAATTGAATTGAAAGTTCAGCTCAGCAGGGCTTTTTTGTGTTAGCTGGCTTCAAGAAAAAATAGTTTAAGGTAGATTCTTCACGTTTCATACTCTGAGCCTGCTCCATTTTTTTCCTTTTAAAGCCTGTTTTCAGTGCCTAATTTAAAGTGCAGATAGTTCAGAGAACTCACGATTTGTCATCGATGACGGTGTTGACTGCATCTCTTAGGTCCTCAGCTGTCATGAAGTTCAAATTGAGAATAACTGCAGTTCCTTTTTCCTTCATATGGACCATGTTGTCTGGCTGGTCACCGAACATTGGGATGCCCACCATGGGAACTCCGTGGTAGATGGCTTCGTAAATCCCATTTGTGCCTCCGTGAGTGATGAAAGCTCTAGTTTTAGGGTGACCTAACACATGCCAAATAACCATGTGACATTGAAAGTTAGTTGTTCACATGTGAAAAAAAGGAGAATTTCAAGAACCTGGAACAAGTTTTTTGAGCCAAGATTGATTTGCACATTCTAATACCTCTGTGCATTCAACTAATCTTTAGTGCAACCTCTTGGAGAAAAAGAATTAGCCAGGGTAGATTTGCACAGGGTGCAATATGTAATCAAGATCACATCTGCTAGAAAAGTATATAATATAATATAATTTCCTTTTGTTAATAAACAGAATGCTAACAACCTGCATTTAATGTTGAATGCATGTTTAATTTATGTCATTGCAGATTTAAGAAAGTCTGTGTTTGGTACCACGTTTGCGTACCTAGGAGGTCATTCTGAGGGATCCAGTCATATATTCTAGTGTTGGCACTCAAGGTTTCTGGTTTTTCTCCTTTGTACCTCCACAGCACCTGTAAAAGTAACATTTCTTACTTTACATTTTTTCTTTTGTAGTATACTCACAGCCCAGTATATTTAAGTAATATATCACAACGTATTATAGAAAAACTAGAGAATGTGTAAATAACCCTGAATGCCTTTCCTTGCAACTTATTTTGGCACTCATTGCTGTCTTCTACTACCAACTTCCTGTTCGGGTGTAGAAGCTTTTATTTTGATGGGACAATTTCCTGTAAAACTGTTTTTGGCGCAGTTTTCAGCGGTAGTCGCGGGAGTTTTGAAATGTGATGGCTTAACGGAGCCTATGGAGATTTCTTTTGTCATTAGCAGCCCCCTTGATAGAGGCACAAGGTATGGTTATGATATAAATAAGGACACGTTTAGATGTTTTTGTGACAGTCGCTACATTTGTTAAATGTTACGTTGAAACGAACTTCATGTTATAAGGTTTACTATTGTAAGAGTGTGGATTATTTTTGCTTACACGCTGTTTCTATGTATACATCCCCAGCTCTTACGGTGAGATTGATGGTTTACTGCCATTAAACCTTCAAAACGTCATCAGTAAAGTGTCATCCTTCATTCAGGGGGGTTCGCTACAGAATGCATTTCCTGAAGAAAATGCAGTGTGAATGCTGATAGTTGAATGTTTTGAGCTGGATTGTGATGATTCCTGAATGTTAAGTTAAAAATGCTGAATGAGCTGAAGAAGAGAATTTTTCACCTGAAAATAAAAGTGCTAAACAGTTGAAAGCTGACACAGAAGAAGTTTCAAAATTGAAAGGTAGCTCAACATGTTTAAATACACATTAGAAAAAGCTGAGTAATGACAAAAGAAAATTTAGAGTCAGAAAACATCTGAATGAATATTGAAATCTGATATTCTTTAAATGACTTGGAAGTACATACGTGAAATGTCAAAAAAAATTGAATCAGAACAAATCTAGGTGAGTGTTGACAGCTTATATTCCTTAAAAAGTAGAAGAGTGGAATTATGTATTTTAAATGTCTAAAATCAAGAATCACAAATGGGGAAAAATGTTTCTGCATCTGTGCACATATCTGTCTCTGTGTTCGTGTGTGTCTGTGTGCGTTTGTGCATGTGTGTCAAAGTAATAACAGAGATATTAAATTAGGTTAGATGAGTTTAATTGTGGGTGAATCCACTACAGACAGGTAAATAGTTTCATGTCTGATCATCCAGTCAGAAGAGATGATTCTAAACTCGATCAACTGACTCCAACTGCCCAGATTTGAACCACCTGTCTGCTGTAAAGAAATCCTCCAATGAACAACAAGCTTGGATTTAACAGGCCAATCAGAATGCTCTATCCAGTTGGCCTGCACTAACTACTGGAATACTATTACTCTATAGCAAAACCAAGTCAAATCTCCCTGACCGCACCTGTTGAAAAACTGCTTCTAAATCCAAAACCGTAACTCCTATCAAAAAGACCCTTTGAACCGTGAGGACATGTCTACACAACAGTGTGTTTTTATGTTCCTGGTGTCAAAAATGGGTTCACAGGAGCAATTTAAAAAGTGGGGTCATTCCTGCTGTTGATACAAATTTCTGACAGACTGATTAATTTCTTACTTTGGACAGAAAAGCCCACAAATAGTAACTGAAAGTCGCTGCAGTAAAGGCCTGACAGAGCATTATTAAAAAGGAGGTAACCCACTATCTTGTGATTTTCTTGACTTCAAGACTTCAGGCTGTGATTGCCAGCAAATGGTTTTCAAACAGGTATTAGAAATGAACATTTTATTTTCATTTTTATTCAATGTAATTTGTCCAATTACTTTTGAGCCCCTGAAATGAAGGGATTGTGTGTTTTCTTTTTTTTTTCTCCTTTTTTTTTAATGCTTTAGTTCCTCACATTTTCATGCAAGGTATTTGCATTAAAGCTGAAAGTCTGCACTACAATGGCATCTGAGTTATATCATTTAAAATTATAAAAGCCAAATCAGAAAAAAGATGTCTCTGTCCAAATATTAATAGACCTAACTGTATATTGAAGCGTGAGGTTAACTTGTCATTAGAAATCATCAGCTGTTGACAAAGTCAGATTTTTCACACTCTGTATTAGGAAAATGAACATAAATATTGTGGAAATAACATGGAAATTGAACACTTGCACGTTGAAATGTCCACAGTCTGCAATGTAATTTAAAAAAACTAGTTTTTGTAGTTCTGGTAGTCAGAGGTAGAGCACTCTGAAACTGGTTATCTAAATCATGTAAAACTACTCCATGCTTTCAGGGTTTGAACAAACTGATTACAGTTGGCACAAAGATTATCCTCTGACCTTTTGTGGGATCTGAGCGAGGCCTGAAGCTATCATGTTTGCCTTCTCCTTGGTGACGTTGTTGATCATGGATCCTAAAGTGAAGATCACAATGCCATCATCTCCAGAACTCTGCACAAATTCCTCCAGATCCTGTAACAAGTCAAATATTATCCCACCACCAGCCAACCAGCTGTTTTCTCATTGCAACATTTTGATGGCTTCACTGCTCCTGGCAGGAATATTCTGTGATGTAATGATTAATCAGATGGTAATAGTTGAGTGTCCTTACCTCCGGTAAAGGTTTAGCAGGTCTGCAGTGGATCCCACCAACATATTTGAAGTTGGGGGGGAAAGGACGAGGGAATTCAAAATCCCAGTAGGTTCGGATTAACCAGATGTCTGCTTTACTCATCAACTCACAGGCACTGGTGGGAGTTCCTGTTGCAGTGCATAAGTAATGGACATCAATGTATCACCAATAGTTTATGCAAGAGATCATATTTTCTTAATTAGATCTGATGGGATATTAAAAAACTGTGCTTGTATTATTAGCAGATTTCAAATAGTTTAAGTCAGTGCTTCACGCCTATTTGCTCACCTTTGACATCAGAGTAATATCTGTCTAATACGTTCCAAAAAGTGTGATTAATCACAATGTCGTGGAGAGCGTAGAAGAGAAAGTTCCACACTCTCTCTGAGAAGTCCATCTTATCTGTGAGTTTGCTCATGGCACCGGGAACAAAGGATGGTGGAGCAGGCATCTGACCACAATGCCTCTCACAGTTATTAACTGGGGAGCTGCGAAAGGACAAGACGAGTGGGATCCCCAAAATATCTGCTACTAAGTCACTGCCAGCTTTGACGGGGTCCGCCAAGAGAAGATCGTAATTTCCCTCTTTCAACTTCTTCATGATGACTTCTGATTTCACCACACCATCCAAATACTGAAAAGAAATCTGAATGTGTGTGTTCACATATTTAACGGATCTGGTGAAGATCTCCCAGTAGTTCATATAATCCAACTCGTATAATACGAATTGGAGGAGCTCTTCCAAAAAATCTTCTATAGTCTCCAATGAGAAAGAGGCGTTGAAGGGCTCATAGTGAAAGCGGGCAGGTTCATTGGTTTTCATGTACATTGATGAGCTTGGGACCAGTACAGTTACCTGGTGTCCTCTGTCAACCAGCGTCTCTAGAACAGGCTTCATGTTTATCCAGTGGCTGCCATCAGTGTACACACCAAAATATTTCCTCCATTTGCACTCCATGTCGCACAAAGTATCAGCAGGATGCAGGCAGAGAGACGCAGATTCATGGTGTCTGAATGTCAGCAGGAAAACTACCCATGGTCTGATTCTTTGGTGAAAGTATATCAGGAAAGATAATTATTAACTCAATAAATCTGAACTCTGACTCATATCTGTCTGTGCTATCACAATAGGTTAAAAGGTAGTGATAGCAAAGTTTACTGTGCTGAAGGAACAAGACTGATTTCTAACCTGTACCAGTACCCTAGGGAGGCTGTGGATGACCCAGGTCTTCTGGGTATTTGTCTGTCTGCCTCAGGTTCCAGGGGGGCATTATTAATTAAGTATAATATTAAGTATATCTTGTGACACATGCACAACACAACAGGATTGTTGTGTGTAGCACTGCTGTATGGCACTTCAGCTCACCTCATTATATACTCTACCTTTAACTCTTGTGCCCATGGGCTTTATGTCAGAACTTGTTGGTGTGGAAAAAGATGTCTGAAGTTTGATTTTTGTTTTAATCAGTTTGCAATGAAAACATATGTTTACCTTTGTAGTTTTAAACCATTCATGGTTTGGAGTTATCCAGAGTAACGGTCAACTCGAGTCAGCTAATTCTATATGACACCTTGGATTAAACCTGAAAATGATGTCATTGACTATAGCACCAGGTAATGTGATAATATACCCCTCATCTTTCTCTGTGCACTACATAAACTATACCAACTCGCTCTGTCACTACAGAAGTGTGGCAGAAGTCTGAAAATCTTTCTGTCTATTGAAAATTTGGTCAACACCAAGTGCAAGGTTTAGTCAGTATTTCAAAGATGGTAAGGTTTTGCTTTATAACGCATATTATGCAGCTCTGCTTAGAACCCGTGTGACAACTTACTTGGCCAGATTTTCAGGTGTTAGTGAGGAGGGTGTGAAGGGTCACCATGGTTCTCTAAGAGATGTCCAGTAGATGCTGTTGGGCTTCAGAAATGCTGACACGATTCTAATTGGACACTGCCTGGAAAAAGACCTCTGTTTACTCAAGGTGACTTCTTCACTTCCTTTTTTAAAAATGTATTCTTTTTTCTTTTTAAGTTTTTCACAGCTTATTTCACATCTTCCAGTTGCAGTCCTCAGTAGACTTTAATGTGCAAATAATTAACACAAAATCATCTGGATGTCTGTTTTGAACCAGAACCATGGAAGGCGTTTGTAAAATAAAGTACAAAACATCTGATTGGTTGTGAACATACCATTTGGGACCTTTTTGTTTTTTGTTACACTTATTTTTTTAAATGTTATGTTTTCTATTTATCATATACTCAAAGTATTCAACAGGATTCGCCTAGAAATTTTGCAGCTTATACAAGTTCACGGCAACGGGTATTGAATCCCAATAATCAGACCCCTATGAGCAGCACATGGGGACTGCAAGGACTTCCTTTGTCTTTTTAGATTAATCAATGAAAGATTTTTAAAACACGCATTTTTACCCCAGTGCCCTCAGCATTAAGGTCAGAGGTCAGCTGTTGTGAAAATACAAAAATGTTAGCTATACAAACTTCTGAGGCATTCGATTTGATGAGATACTATACACCACTGTGTCTTCTTAAAAAACTACCAGTTTTAGAACACCCCAATTATTCCAGTTTTCTATTGAAAATCATGCTGTTTAATGTCACATTGCAGTCTGAAATGAAAGCATAGTAGAAACAAACAATTGAAGTCAAAAAAGAGATCAAGGGAAACCTTTCTTCCTTTTTTTTTTAACCTTTGGCAGTTCAACACTTACCTTTGTACCATTTCAACCTATTCATTGGATTTGAATTACATAAATTGGAATAAATAGCTGGACAATTGAGGTGTTTCAAAACTTTTGATGGGTAGTGTCCCATATAGAAAAGATATATATAAATCTTATAAAGTTTGTATCTGTCTTGTGTGAAACTTGTATGAAAAGCATACAAGAGTGAAAACAGATATAAGATGCCTTGAAAAATTATATAAATGAAACTTGTATGTTTTGGATACTTACTAAACCAATATAACATATAAATCATAAGTTTTTACTATTTCTTTTCCATATGGTGTATTTCAAACACATAGTTGACAGAGACCAACAGATATTGAAAATTCGTCATGGTCTGCTTGTCTTGTCTTGTATACCCTGAATTTAATTTGTCATAAGTCATTTTTGGACAAAAGGGTTGAAATGTCATGATACAGTAATCTCACTTTATTTCTCTCTGATGTCCTCTAAAAGTATTTTATTTTTTCCATCTTAATTATACTATTTGTAATTACCTGAACCAAATTTTTATCTAAAGCTTTTACCACCAGGTGGCAGCACATTACCGTAAAGTCTCAGTGTAATGTAACTACCAATCCCTGTCTTGAAGTAGAAATAAAAAGTCACTATTTGCTGTGACCTAATTAAGCAAATCACATACAGCAATTGTTTTGTATATAAAGTCTCTCACAAAAAGCTACCTTAGAAAACATATATGAACAGTTATTAACAGGTAGCAGTCAAAAAAGATCTATTATTCAAGGATCATTGATTCATTTTATTCTTGAAGAGCTGTGTGCAGTGATGGAAAGCTGCTCCAGTGTTATTTTCTCCTGAACTGAACATGGTGTCGTTCTGGGAGGATCTAGTGGTGATGACGGGGCTACCATAAAGGTGTTTCATCCACTGTTTGCTGTCCCTTTGAATAGAAGGCCAGTACTTCTTCTGACTCTCCATTATATTTCCTACACCTTTCAGGGCAGAGAGCATGCTACATTGAGTCACTCACCAATAAAAGATTATTTTTATACCCCTTAGTTTGTGGCCATGACACTGCAGAAGATGCTACTGCCTGTATGGAGCTGATGTTGTGGAAAGTCAAAGAAGATGGAAAATTGAAAAAATGATGGAAATAAAATTATTCCTGTACAGTTCATGTGGGGGGAGGGGGAACAAATACTAGCTGTGATTCAAATGTATTATTTTGTGTAAACCTCGTTCAGGACACGGAGGGCAGTTTGTTTTTTGTTAATATAAATGGTAAATGGCCTGTATTTGTATAGCGCTTTACTAGTCCCTAAGGACCCCAAAGCGCTTTACACATCCATTCATCCACCCCTTCACGCACACATTCACACACTGGTGATGGCAAACTACATTGTAGCCACAGCCACCCTGGGGCGCACTGACAGGGGCGAGGCTGCCGGACATTGGCGCCACCTGGCCCTCTGACCACCACCAGTAGGCAACGGGTGAAGCGTCTTGCCCAAAGACACAAACACCGAAACTGTCCCAGCCAGGGCTCGAACCGGCAACCTTCCAATTACAAGATGACCTCCCAACTCTTGAGCCACAATCACATTAACATTTATGTTAATGAGTTCTGTATGTTAAAGTTCAATTTGGAGCCCATCTTCGATATTTGTATAAATGTTGACCACATGTAGTGCCAAGAGGACCCACAGTGGTGACTTTTCATGAGCAGTACTCAAGTAAAGGCATAGAATGAATTTTGTGTTTTCCTTTCTTAAAAAAGCAAAACTCAACAGCCAATCAGCATTCTGTTTTTAATGTGAGATTAACTTCAGGTACACTTCTGCAAATCGGTACACCTGTCTTCAGTTAAAGTAATCAGTGGTGATGCATAAAGAATAAGATGGTGGGAAACTCAACATACATGAAAGAAAGTCTCATGTAGGTAACAAATATTGCCCCGGCACAACACACTCAGCACCTTTTTCAGTTGTTATTCAGCCTTCCTTTTGGTCTTTCCTCTCCTGACACAGCACCTGTACAGACAGAAACTGCAGGTCTTTATGAAGATGAATATGAGGAGTAGAGCTATAGTGAGGATGAAGCCCAAGACATCCAGGCTGTGATACTGGTACCAGGTGAGCTCATGGGCCTGGACCCTCAAGTGCTTGGCCCCTTTGTTTTTCAGTGTGAACTCGATCCAGAATACTGCCTCTTCCAAAGCACTCATGGGTCTGTCGTGGTGGATGCTGGACAACCGCATAGCATTTTCTTTGTACCTGTGAATGTGAATATAAATGAGAAAAAAAAATGTAAAAATGAATATCATGCAGTATTAATCAAAAAGCTATGAGACCATAAAAAATTGTTTACACAGGTCATTAAAGTTCAGCTCAGCAAGGCTTTCTTGTGTTAGCTGGCTCCAAGAAAAAGGGGTTCAAGGTAAATTCTTCACGTTTCATACTCTGACCCTGCTACATTTTTTCCCTTTAAAGCCTGTTTCCAGTGCCTAATTTAAAGTGCAGATAGTTCAGAGAACTCACGATTTATCATCGATGACTGTGTTGACTGCATCTCTTAGATCCTCAGCTGTCACGTAGTTCAAATTGAGAATAACTGCAGCTCCTTTTTCCTTCATATGGATCATGTTGTCTGGCTGGTCAAGAAACATGGGTATGCCCACCATGGGTACTCCGTGGTAGATGGCTTCATAAATCCCATTTGTGCCTCCATGAGTGATGAAAGCTCTAGTTTTAGGGTGACCTAACACATGCCAAATAACCATGTGACATTGAAAGTTAGTTTTTCACGTGAACAACAGGAGAATTTCAATAACCCGGCATAAGTGCTGAGTTGAAATTGATTTGCACGTTCTAATACTTATGTGCATTCAACTAATCTTTTAGTGCAACAGATTAGATTTGCACAGGGTGTCTGTTAGAAAAGTATAATTGATCAATTTTTCCTTTTGTTAATAAACAGAATGCTCACAGCTTGCATTTCATGTTGAATGTGCGTTTAATTTATGTCATTGCAGTTTTAAGAAAATCTATGTTTAGTGCCAAGTTTACGTACCCAGGAGGTCGTTCTGAGGGATCCAGTCATATATTCTAGTGTTGGCACTCAAGGTTTCTGGTTTTTCTCCTATGTACCTCCACACCACCTATAAAAGGTAACATATTTCTTAGCTTACATGATTTGTTTGTTTTCTGTTGTAGTATACTTACAGCCACACTTTAGGCAATATATCACAAAATATTATGGGAAAATAAAACTGCAGTATGTGTTTCTAGTCAGCTGTTTTCTACCTGTCATCTAAAGCTGCATAATCGGAGTGATTTGGGTATAAAACTCTTTGAATGCTAATTTTAGATTTTATTTTAAAGTTAGATTTATATATGTATTTACAAGATTGATGCAAGTTTTTTTTTCTTTTTACCTGTTTACTGAAACCTGTTCTATTTGTAGTTATATCATTTACATCGACATAATCTGTAGACTCTCAGATAGGTATCTACATTCAAATTGGATGAAGGTTTTAGGAGTGTTTAGCTCCTTAACATGTGCCATGCTCTTATTTTAAGGGGACCAAAAGTAATTGGACTAAAGGGCCATTTCATCATGAGGTGTGGGCAATTCCTTTGTTATGTCATTATCAATTAAGCAGATAAAAGGCCTGGAGTTAAATTTAAGGGTGGTGCTTGCATTTAGAAGATTTTGCTGTGAACAGTCAAAGGAATTGTCACGGTCCCGGTGTCTCTCTGGCTGGCCCACACTGGTTACAGGTTGGGTTTTTGTTTCTCTCTCTCTTTCCTCCCTACTGTCTCCTGCTTGCCTGGGCAGAGTTCAGAGTTACTGGGCTCTTGCCTTTGGCTCGCACCTTTCACACCTGGGTTTATTGCCACCACCTCCTGCTGATCTGTCCTGATCACTCTGGCGCTATTTAAGGGTAGGGCTCTGAGCACCTCATCGCTGAAACGTTGAACCCGCATAGTTCATGCTCTCTGCTCTGTTTTAAAGTTGTCTGTCTTTAACTAACCGTTGTTTCTTTAAATAGATTTCCCGGACCTGTTGGTGGACCCTTCCTGAGATTCCTGTGTGTGGCAGCGTGAGTGGAATTTGAGAGTGAGTGGTCGAAGAGGAGCGAGTGTGAGTAGAGTTTGAGCGGCAGTGCGTGATGGATGTAAAATTGGAGATGGCTGATTCTCACAAACATGCAGCCTAAAATGTCCAAAGTCTGCAATCTCATTAAAACATGTAGTTTTTGTAGTTCTGGTAGTCAGAGGTAGAGCACTCTGAAACATGTAAAACTACTCCATGCTTTGCACAAGTTTATTACAGCTGAAACAAAGATTATCCTCTGACCTTTTGTGGGATCTGAGCGAGGCCTGAGGCTATCATGTTTGCCTTCTCCTTGGTGATGTTGTTGATCAGGGATCCTAAAGTGAAGATCACAATGCCATCATCTCCAGAACTCTGCACAAATTCCTCCAGATCCTGTAACAAGTCAAATATTATCCCACCACCAGCCAACCAGCTGTTTTCTCATTGCAACATTTTGATGGCTTCACTGCTCCTGGCAGGAATATTCTGTGATGTAATGATTAATCAAATGGTAATAGTTGAGTGTCCTTACCCCTGGTAGAGGTTTAGCAGGTCTGCAGTGGATCCCCCCAACATATTTGAAGTTGGGGGGGAAAGGACGAGGGAATTCAAAATCCCAGTAGGTTCGGATTAACCAGATATCTGCTTTACTCATCAACTCACAGGCACTGGTGGGAGTTCCTGTTGCAATGCATAAGTAATGGACATCAATGTATCACCAATAGTTTATACAAGGCATCATATTTTCTTAATCAGATCTGATGGGATATTAAAACACTGCGTTTGCATTATTAGCAGATTTCAAATAGTTTTTTTTAAATCAGCCTATTTGCTCACCTTTGACATCAGAGTAATATCTGTCTAATACGTTCCAAAAACATTAACATATCACCAATAGTTTATGCAAGAGATCATATTTTCTTAATCAGAAAATTTTAAAACACTGTGCTTACATTATTAGCAAATTTTAAATATTTTTTTAAATCAGTGCTTCACGCCTATTTGCTCACCTTTGACATCAGAGTAATATCTGTCTAATATGTTCCAAAAAGTGTGATCAATCACGATGTCTTGGAGAGCGTAGAAGAGAAAGTTCCACACTCTCTCTGAGAAGTCCATCTTATCTGTGAGTTTGCTCATGGCACCGGGAACAAAGGATGGTGGAGCAGGCATCTGACCACAATGCCTCTCCCAGTTATTAGCTAAGGAGAAGCGCAAGGAGAAGACGAGTGGGATCCCCAAAATATCTGCTACCAAGTCACTGCCAGCTTTCCAGGGGTCAGCCAAGAGAAGGTCATAATTTCCCTCTTTCAACTTCTTCATAATGGCTTCTGATTTCACCACACCGTCCAAATACTGGATATTGTACTGAAGGTTTGTCTTTGAAATGTTAATGTATCTGATGTAGATCTTCCAGTAATTCATATAATCAATCTCGTATATGGAGAATTGGAGGAAGTCTTCTAGAAGCTTCTTATAAGCCTCCAATGAGAAAGAGACATTGAAGGGCTCATAGTGAAAGCGGGTGGGTTCATTGGTGTTCATGTATACTGACGAGCTCGGAATCAGTACAGTTACCTGGTGTCCCCTGTCAACCAGCGTCTCCAGAACAGGTTTCATGTTTATCCAGTGGCTGGCATCGGCGTACCACACCAAAATATTTCCTCCATTTGCACACGATGTTGCACAAAGTACCATCAGGATGCAGGCAGAGAGACGCAGATCCATGGTGTCTGAATGTCAGCAGGATCATCAGCTGTGGTCTGATCCTTTGTAGAAGTATCACAGGAAAGATAATTATTAACTCAGTTAAGATGAACATTTACTCAATTCTGTCTGTGATTGTGTCTCTGAAGGTTCTCAGTCATCCAGGTCATCGTAGTCAAAGGAGCTTGCAAAGAAAAGTGTCTGGACTTCTTTAAGTTGCTTGAAGACGTTTCACCTCTCATCCACGAAGCTTCTTCCATTCTAATGTCAAATGGTGGAGAGTCCCAGATTTAAACCTAGTGGGAGTAACCCCCCACAGAGGGACAAAAGGACCCCCTGATGATCCTCTAATCCCCTTAGCCAAGGTGTGAAACTGGGTGTGGGTCCCAATCAGCCAGGATTTCGGGTGAGCTCATTGTGAAACCTGGACGATCTGATTTCCTCGTGTCAGCATTGTTCCCACATCATCATAATTAATGTTGTTCCAGGTTCAACATTGCAAGTGACCAATCACCTTCTTGTGACGTCATTCCTTTGCGACTTCGAAATACCCGCCTTCGAGTATTTCGAAATACAAGTGAAGAAGTGTGTGCTGAATCTATGAATCAAACTATCACCTGGAAACATAATTAACTGGTCCATAGCTGTGAAACTGGACATGAGTTCTTGATTCTATGGAGATTAACAGTAATCCAGAAATTTACAAATTTGTCCTGGTACATCGCGTAAATGTTGTCCCTGGGACATTGTGTAAATGTTGTCCCTGGGACATCGTGTAAATGTTGTCCCTGGGACATCGTGTAATTGTTGTCCCTGGGACATCGTGTAAATGTTGTCCCTGGGACATCGTGTAGATGTTGTCCCTGGGACATCGTGTAAATGTTGTCCCAGGGACATCGTGTGATAGCTTGTAAATAATGGAATGAAAATTATTGATTGTTATTAACTTGTGAAAAAGAAGTGTAACAAATCCACATGTTATGTTCTTACACCCTTACAGAAACTGTGACTCCTTCACAATGTCAGGTAAATGTCAACTCATGTTGAATAATCAACCAATCAAGCCTTTTATTATCACATGCAATGTTACACGTACAACTGCAATGAAAATTTCACCCCCTTCTGACCATACATATATTGCTTAAACATCACATTGGGAAGACAGGTCGGAAACAGTTAGGAAGGTCAGAAAACAATTTAATTAATAGATGAGGGGAGAGGAGGAGAAAAAAGAACTACAACCAGACAAAGCTCCTAGAAGACTGAAATGGATGATGGTTGCAGCATGCAAAAAGAAAATGATATCTGTTGACTACAGCATATGCTTTCTCACAGATTACCTTGTGGGAGTAGCTGGACCAAACTCTATTGGTATTTCAAGTTTGAAATCCCTGTTTGACCAGACTAACATTTCAGATGAGGTACCTCTTGACATAAAAATCCTTTTATGTTGTCATAAAACTAATGTTAAATTCTGCTTTAAATACACTTTATTGTACAATTTACTTAATGAATCGTGTTCCTTAGTTCTGTTTTTATTTATATGTATTTATTTATTTGTTTTATAAGGTAATAGATGGCCTAATCTATTTGCAGTGTGAGGTATGTTGAAAAGCTTGTTTGATCATAATGACATAGCATGTTTACGTTTTTTGTAATGTATTTGAAAACATAGGTGTATTTATGTTATTTTTATAGAATTTCCCTCACATTTATCCAATACCAAGCCAAATCACTGGAAAAATTTTGGATGGGTCCACAAGAGCACAAAGTGCATACTTTTTGAAGGTATGACTTGGACTGTGGTAACTATGTTCTTATCACAAAGGGTTTATAAGTTGCCACTATAAACAAACAGCATTTTCCAAAATTGAAGCCTTGTCAGAAGAACCTGAAAAATACCTTTCTGAAACCTTTTCTGTGTAAAGACTTGTTCAAAAGCAATGCACACAGATTAAAACATTTCTGTCTTGGCCAACTGATAAAGAACACCAAAAATTGAGTGGTGCGTGTTGAGTCTGTGGTCTTGATTTGTTTTGTACACACTATAGAAATTAATTAATGTAAACCAAAAATGACACTTTCTATATGTTTGTGTATCTGCAGAATTAATTACAAGTCTCACCTGACAAGCTTTTGCAGTGTCATTCTTGACAGAAAAACATACTTGTCACATTCTTTTTATTTCCAGAAAAACATCTTTCAGATGTATGAGAAATTGATTGGAGCCTGTCTGGAAAACGCCAGCCACTGGACCTTGTTTGTAAGTTGCACAGATTTTGCACTCTCTCTAGTGCATGATACTTTTCAGTGTCCCTCATTAGGAATTCTCAAGGCCCAAGCCTACCATATCCATCTTTTTACAAAACAGTTTTGTGACATACCCAAGAGGACCATAGTCTATATGAATTCATTTGGCGAGTCGGAGGTCAGAAAAAGTGCGGTGTTGAAAAACTGGAGGTAATTAATTAACATATTTAACATAACATATTTAATTTAATTGAAAGCATTACCGAACGTGGTTATTGATTTCTCTATATGCTTTTTATTTGTAATAACTGCGATCTCTCAGCTCATTTGCTTCAGCAAGAGGCTGCGCTGGAGAGTGGACCTTGTCACATGTGAGCCACCCACATCAACAGGATGGGAACTCATGTGGAGTGCATGTCATAATGGTACTGAAAACTATAGCTTTAACCTATATAAGTAATGTTTACATTTTTGCCTATTCAGTTTTTAAAGCCTTAGAGGCAGGATGGTAAAATCTCAATTTTTTTTGTAGATTGAACCATTTCAGCAGTAATGCTTTGCTTTGGTTGCTCTGTTTTTTTTTTTCTCGGGGGGGGGGGGGGGGGGGGGGTTAAAAACAAACAAACATTTCTTTGTTAATCTAATTCTTTTTGTTCTTTTTTTTTTTTTTTTCTTCGTCAATTATTAGTTTGCCCAATCTCTCATTGACGGTAAAACACAAGTGGAGGAGTACAACACTGAAATCACAAAGCTCAGGTCCCGACTTTGCCACTACTTATTATCCTCAATAGGTAAAGATAAAATTAGCTGCCTTCTTTTTCTCTAACATTGGAAAATGTAACTTGTACTTAAACAAATTATGTTTTGCAGATCGAACTAGGAAGTGCAGTCAGTGCTGGTGTGTGATTGCAGCCAAAGACCGGGTACACTATGACATGTCCTTAGCCATATAGATTGTTTATTTAATGGACTTTGTTCATTTGTTTTTTGTTTGTTTATTTCTTCTTCTTTTTTTTTTTTTAAATTCACAGGTGCAGTGCCAGAAATGTGGTGCATACAAGCACATGCGTTGTTCAAAGTCTGTTTGTGGCATCTGTATCTTCTGTGAGAGTAAGTCACAATATAACTAAACAACGTCCAAAAATGTTTAAAGTGAATTTTTTTTTCGTAATTTTGCCTTTGCACACCAGGACTGTGTAATTAAAGTGGACGTTTCAAGATCCAGTTTTTACACAAAACTATTTTAGACATAACTGTGTCGTATTGTGGGGATTTCTCTTCACAATTAAATTGATATAGTGCTGTTTATATCATTCTTCTTTATGTAACAGCACAGTGCAGCACAGCAGAGGGAAAGGAGTTGTGCAGCATAGTGGGTGGCTATACAGGAGGAGCAATAGAAGTAGCCAGTGAAGAATGTCATCAGGGAAAGCATCAGGCAGCGAATGACAAAGGAAAAGTTCCTAAGGGAGAGAACATCTGCAGCAAATCGACAAGTAACAGTGAGATAGGAAGACTGACAGTCAGAGATGAAGGTACACAGACTGAAGACAAAGAAAAAGAAACAGAAGTATACGGCACAAGTCTGAGTACAGATAATGCTGCTGCTGATGATGTTGACAGGATCGATGCAGATACAGAATTCCAAACTGATTCAGAAGGAACTAGTACAGTTTACAGAGTGCATGGTCGCTTATCTGTACCAAGCTCAAAAAAGAAAACCTACACAATAACAGAAGACGAGATCAAGCGCAGAATTACCAGGTTTTGTTTTTTTTACCTAATTTTTGTTTCTGAGAAAAATGAGAGCCACATATGAGGACATTAATTTGAAATTTCGATAGAACAGTTGCAGTATAATGTCCTCATAACTGTATATCAGGCACTTGTTGATCAAGATTTAGTATTTTGGTCTAAATAACCCAAAATGTGATGTCCACATGTGTGGACGCCAGGCTGGAGTAAAGTGTTAGAGCTATTTATACCTATGTAAACTTTTATACACTGGTTTTACCTGTCTTGTTTCAGAAAGGTTTAAAAGGGTAATGTCCACAGTTTATTTGTTTATTTATTTGTTTGAATTCAACATATTTTATTAAAGTAATTGAGCTTGAACACAGAAAAAACTGAATCAAATAATCATAAAATCAAATCACTTGCACTATACTGAAGTCTAATCTACTCTGAGCTAATGCCGGTTTCCAACACTAATGATCGGGTGAAGGAGAGAGATGAGGGTGTGCACGGCCACTGGTGCTCTTATCCCTGTTCTTTGTGATACAATCCAACAGGAAAGCAGTCAAACCCTTGGACATTAGCCAAGTTAACGTTCACAAATATATACACACAGAGGAACTCTGAGCCCCAATGTCAGCATTAGCACAAACATGCCACTTCATACCAAATCTCAGTGTGAGGTCAGGTGTTAGTCTCATTCCATTATTCTGGCTATATTTTCTTACTCATTACTATTAAACTTATACTTAAGACTAACTATTAACAAAATCACACCCCAATAACTCTGTTATTACACTTTGTATTTAATCATAAAAAGGCTGGATGTTGAAACCTTTTACTTCTATTTTGTATGAGCCAGGATTCTCAACAGCTGATACTCTATGTCCAAAAAGTGACAGGTATCGTTTTATGGAGCAAAAAACTTAAGAGCGCATATTTTATAAATAATACCAACAATTACAAATGCAGACCTTTAATAGTAATAAGTAATCCTTTATTTATAATGCATAGCAATATAAAAATAGTAACATATGAAAATATTACAATGGGCACAGATGAATTTGTATCAAAAACAGCAACCAAGCCAAAGTAATGAATAACACACATAAATAACAACTGCTTGAGAGACCAAACAATTGTTGTCCCTGGGACATCGTGTAAATGTTGTCCCTGGGACATCGTGTACATGTTGTCCCTGGGACATCGTGTAATTGTTGTCCCTGGGACATCGTGTAAATGTTGTCCCTGGGACATCGCGTAAATGTTGTCCCTGGGACATCGCGTAAATGTTGTCCCTGGGACATCGTGTAATTGTTGTCCCTGGGACATCGTGTAGATGTTGTCCCTGGGACATCGTGTAAATGTTGTCCCTGGGACATCGTGTGATAGCTTGTAAATAATGGAATGAAAATTATTGATTGTTATTAACTTGTGAAAAAGAAGTGTAACAAATCCACATGTTATGTTCTTACACCCTTACAGAAACTGTGACTCCTTCACAATGTCAGGTAAATGTCAACTCATGTTGAATAATCAACCAATCAAGCCTTTTATTATCACATGCAATGTTACACGTACAACTGCAATGAAAATTTCACCCCCTTCTGACCATACATATATTGCTTAAACATCACATTGGGAAGACAGGTCGGAAACAGTTAGGAAGGTCAGAAAACAATTTAATTAATAGATGAGGGGAGAGGAGGAGAAAAAGAACTACAACCAGACAAAGCTCCTAGAAGACTGAAATGGATGATGGTTGCAGCATGCAAAAAGAAAATGATATCTGTTGACTACAGCATATGCTTTCTCACAGATTACCTTGTGGGAGTAGCTGGACCAAACTCTATTGGTATTTCAAGTTTGAAATCCCTGTTTGACCAGACTAACATTTCAGATGAGGTACCTCTTGACATAAAAATCCTTTTATGTTGTCATAAAACTAATGTTAAATTCTGCTTTAAATACACTTTATTGTACAATTTACTTAATGAATCGTGTTCCTTAGTTCTGTTTTTATTTATATGTATTTATTTATTTGTTTTATAAGGTAATAGATGGCCTAATCTATTTGCAGTGTGAGGTATGTTGAAAAGCTTGTTTGATCATAATGACATAGCATGTTTACGTTTTTTGTAATGTATTTGAAAACATAGGTGTATTTATGTTATTTTTATAGAATTTCCCTCACATTTATCCAATACCAAGCCAAATCACTGGAAAAATTTTGGATGGGTCCACAAGAGCACAAAGTGCATACTTTTTGAAGGTATGACTTGGACTGTGGTAACTATGTTCTTATCACAAAGGGTTTATAAGTTGCCACTATAAACAAACAGCATTTTCCAAAATTGAAGCCTTGTCAGAAGAACCTGAAAAATACCTTTCTGAAACCTTTTCTGTGTAAAGACTTGTTCAAAAGCAATGCACACAGATTAAAACATTTCTGTCTTGGCCAACTGATAAAGAACACCAAAAATTGAGTGGTGCGTGTTGAGTCTGTGGTCTTGATTTGTTTTGTACACACTATAGAAATTAATTAATGTAAACCAAAAATGACACTTTCTATATGTTTGTGTATCTGCAGAATTAATTACAAGTCTCACCTGACAAGCTTTTGCAGTGTCATTCTTGACAGAAAAACATACTTGTCACATTATTTTTATTTCCAGAAAAACATCTTTCAGATGTATGAGAAATTGATTGGAGCCTGTCTGGAAAACGGCAGCCACTGGACCTTGTTTGTAAGTTGCACAGATTTTGCACTCTCTCTAGTGCATGATACTTTTCAGTGTCCCTCATTAGGAATTCTCAAGGCCCAAGCCTACCATATCCATCTTTTTACAAAACAGTTTTGTGACATACCCAAGAGGACCATAGTCTATATGAATTCATTTGGCGAGTCGGAGGTCAGAAAAAGTGCGGTGTTGAAAAACTGGAGGTAATTAATTAACATATTTAACATAACATATTTAATTTAATTGAAAGCATTACCGAACGTGGTTATTGATTTCTCTATATGCTTTTTATTTGTAATAACTGCGATCTCTCAGCTCATTTGCTTCAGCAAGAGGCTGCGCTGGAGAGTGGACCTTGTCACATGTGAGCCACCCACATCAACAGGATGGGAACTCATGTGGAGTGCATGTCATAATGGTACTGAAAACTATAGCTTTAACCTATATAAGTAATGTTTACATTTTTGCCTATTCAGTTTTTAAAGCCTTAGAGGCAGGATGGTAAAATCTCAATTTTTTTTGTAGATTGAACCATTTCAGCAGTAATGCTTTGCTTTGGTTGCTCTGTTTTTTTTTTTTCTCGGGGGGGGGGGGGGGGGGGGGTTAAAAACAAACAAACATTTCTTTGTTAATCTAATTCTTTTTGTTCTTTTTTTTTTTTTCTTTTCTTCGTCAATTATTAGTTTGCCCAATCTCTCATTGACGGTAAAACACAAGTGGAGGAGTACAACACTGAAATCACAAAGCTCAGGTCCCGACTTTGCCACTACTTATTTTCCTCAATAGGTAAAGATAAAATTAGCTGCCTTCTTTTTCTCTAACATTGGAAAATGTAACTTGTACTTAAACAAATTATATTTTGCAGATCGAACTAGGAAGTGCAGTCAGTGCTGGTGTGTGATTGCAGCCAAAGACTAGGTACACTATGACATGTCCTTAGCCATATAGATTGTTTATTTAATGGACTTTGTTCATTTGCTTTTTGTTTGTTTATTTCTTCTTCTTCTTTTTTTTTAAATTCACAGGTGCAGTGCCAGAAATGTGGTGCATACAAGCACATGCGTTGTTCAAAGTCTGTTTGTGGCATCTGTATCTTCTGTGAGAGTAAGTCACAATATAACTAAACAACGTCCAAAAATGTTTAAAGTGAATTTTTTTTTCGTAATTTTGCCTTTGCACACCAGGACTGTGTAATTAAAGTGGACGTTTCAAGATCCAGTTTTTACACAAAACTATTTTAGACATAACTGTGTCGTATTGTGGGGATTTCTCTTCACAATTAAATTGATATAGTGCTGTTTATATCATTCTTCTTTATGTAACAGCACAGTGCAGCACAGCAGAGGGAAAGGAGTTGTGCAGCATAGTGGGTGGCTATACAGGAGGAGCAATAGAAGTAGCCAGTGAAGAATGTCATCAGGGAAAGCATCAGGCAGCGAATGACAAAGGAAAAGTTCCTAAGGGAGAGAACATCTGCAGCAAATCGACAAGTAACAGTGAGATAGGAAGACTGACAGTCAGAGATGAAGGTACACAGACTGAAAGAGATGAAGGTACACAGACTGAAGACAAAGAAAAAGAAACAGAAGTATACGGCACAAGTCTGAGTACAGATAATGCTGCTGCTGATGATGTTGACAGGATCGATGCAGATACAGAATTCCAAACTGATTCAGAAGGAACTAGTACAGTTTACAGAGTGCATGGTCGCTTATCTGTACCAAGCTCAAAAAAGAAAACCTACACAATAACAGAAGACGAGATCAAGCGCAGAATTACCAGGTTTTGTTTTTTTTACCTAATTTTTGTTTCTGAGAAAAATGAGAGCCACATATGAGGACATTAATTTGAAATTTCGATAGAACAGTTGCAGTATAATGTCCTCATAACTGTATATCAGGCACTTGTTGATCAAGATTTAGTATTTTGGTCTAAATAACCCAAAATGTGATGTCCACATGTGTGGACGCCAGGCTGGAGTAAAGTGTTAGAGCTATTTATACCTATGTAAACTTTTATACACTGGTTTTTACCTGTCTTGTTTCAGAAAGGTTTAAAAGGGTAATGTCCACAGTTTATTTGTTTATTTATTTGTTTGAATTCAACATATTTTATTAAAGTAATTGAGCTTGAACACAGAAAAAACTGAATCAAATAATCATAAAATCAAATCACTTGCACTATACTGAAGTCTAATCTACTCTGAGCTAATGCCGGTTTCCAACACTAATGATCGGGTGAAGGAGAGAGATGAGGGTGTGCACGGCCACTGGTGCTCTTATCCCTGTTCTTTGTGATACAATCCAACAGGAAAGCAGTCAAACCCTTGGACATTAGCCAAGTTAACGTTCACAAATATATACACACAGAGGAACTCTGAGCCCCAATGTCAGCATTAGCACAAACATGCCACTTCATACCAAATCTCAGTGTGAGGTCAGGTGTTAGTCTCATTCCATTATTCTGGCTATATTTTCTTACTCATTACTATTAAACTTATACTTAAGACTAACTATTAACAAAATCACACCCCAATAACTCTGTTATTACACTTTGTATTTAATCATAAAAAGGCTGGATGTTGAAACCTTTTACTTCTATTTTGTATGAGCCAGGATTCTCAACAGCTGATACTCTATGTCCAAAAAGTGACAGGTATCGTTTTATGGAGCAAAAAACTTAAGAGCGCATATTTTATAAATAATACCAACAATTACAAATGCAGACCTTTAATAGTAATAAGTAATCCTTTATTTATAATGCATAGCAATATAAAAATAGTAACATATGAAAATATTACAATGGGCACAGATGAATTTGTATCAAAAACAGCAACCAAGCCAAAGTAATGAATAACACACATAAATAACAACTGCTTGAGAGACCAAACAATTTCTTTTCAACTGTTCCTTGGCAGAAAGTTAAGACAGCTATTCAGCTTTAGGTTTCAATAAACAGAAGTAATGGATGCAGTCCCTTTGAAATGTCACACAAAAGTCTACTTGTGCATATACTTAGCTTTAACTCTTCTCTTTTTTGTTTTGTATTCCAAAAGGTTTTCATTTCTCCAGAGGATGTCTCTCTTTCAGTGGTTATCGACTGTTCACATTCATTTTCACAGACTGTTGGAATGTCGATGCTGGCCGAACGTTTCTTGCTAGAATACAATGGCCTAATTTTGCGTGCATTATCTGTCGTCTTTATTTCGTACTGGCATATACTTTTGCCTACTTGTTTTGTTTTTAAGACATTTGTATGCAGTTCATCTATCATTGGAGTAATACCCTCTGGAATGAATGCCCACTGTTTAACTGTGTCTAAAACAGCATTTAGTTTTCCAACTGCATCTTCTGTGCATTTTTTGTCTGTGCTTTCAACTACAGGAGTGTCATTCAAAGTTGATAGAGGACTTTTCAGAGAGTTTTTCATTTGTTTAAAATGGCTACAAGCCACCTTCAGGCAAGCACATGTGTTATAGTGAGAGAACGTACAACAAGTGCACTGAAGTGTTGCAGCCGATGCAAAAAAACACAGATTTCCAAACAAACTTGGCATTTTTATCACTTTCAAGTCCTCACAGTGTACAAAGTAATGCCTTTCTTTCACTGCAATTCTTGCCAAGGTAGAAATGTCTGTTTCCATGTTTGGATAGATGTCATTGTCAGCCTCTGCTAATTTTGCAAGTAACACTAGATGCTTGCAAAGAAGTCCTCGTAAGCCATATGTACAGTTGCAGTAGGACTCAACAGGGCAGACATCATACACCATGTCTTCTCTTGACTCAGATGGGACTTGATATGCATTAACTCCATGGCTGTTCTTGACTGTAATTTTAAGAGCCCAACCACTTTCCATCAGTCTTGAAGCAGAGTCTGAAACTTGAGACAAGGTGTCAGCAAACCTGTTTTTCATGCGGCCCACATCTTGCAGGGTTTTTATGACTGACAAGTAGTCGTCGGCCTTCCCTAGGAGCACTTCAATCAGATCATCCAGACGCCTATTCTTGTAGCCAGATAAAAACTGGTATTTCAGGCGGTGGAAAAATCTGAAAAACAGTTATTTGAAATGATTAGTAACTGTAATTGAAGGAATTTAAAGTTTTAATCAAGACTGTATTATTTTTTTAAAAATTGGAATACCTATTGCACACGTCTTTTATAAAGGAATGCTCTGTGCCGGTTTAGCTGATTTAGGCAAATCCACCTACTCTGTTTTTTGTTGTGATAACATAAAAAACGCTGCTAGAATTTAAAGGATTTGCCTAAAACCTGTTCTGGCAATGACATGATGAACCTACTCAGTTTAGCCTCTTGGATTAAAGCATAATATCTTTTTTTCAGCAATACAATTGAATGAGGTCAAAATAATAAATCATACCTTTCAATCACATTGTTTGTTTCAGAACGAGCGTGACTGAAGCGACGGCCGTAGTCACACCACATGTGGCCAATGCCTTCCCAGTGCTTCTGAAAATACTGGCACACCAAAGGGTATTGCTTAAATGTCTGGCAGAACTCTGCTGATGTGGCTTTAAAGTCGTCCTCCTAAGAGAATTGGATGCAACAGAATATATTTCAATCCATTTAACAGACCTATTGAAATCTTTAATATTATGTATTGAAGCCCTTTTCCTTTTATTGAATAACATTAAGAATTTTAAGTTATTAATAATATGTCGTGTTTTTGTATTAAGAAGCAATTATTTCTTCCCTTACAATGGCTAAGAAGGAACACTAAACCTATAAGCATATTTGGTTTCAGCATCTGTCTGTGAAAGAATCCCACTCACAAGTTCTACTGCACAGTGGGTGACACAATGATGTTCTGCACAGCTTAAGTACTTGTTTTGATAAGCAAGATAAGAAGCCAGTTTTAGAAATTGTTTCAAAAATCTATTTTGTATCTCTCTGTAACTTTTTTTAGCAACTGAAAGTTATTATGCTCTTAGTGTAATCAAGAAATCAAAATGTGAAATAGACAAATTACACTTACAGATGTGCAAGCTTTCAGCTTACAAAAGAAAGAAATGATTTCATTTCTCTTTTGGTGTTAGAAAGCCATGGACCCCGGACTCTGATTTTGAAAGCCATCGATTAACAGCCTGTGAATGTAAGAGAAAAAAAGTTAATCTGGAGAGAGAGACAGAGGAGCAGCTGTACAAAAAGCATAAAAGAAAGCTGACGTCCAAAAATAACTTTGTCACTCACTGGACAAGAGGACCTGTGCATTACAGAAATCAACCAGGCAAACATATTTTTAAATGTCAAAAAGAGCTTTGGGAAGCAGCCACCAGAAGATGAGTGCACTGTGGTCTTAAATGGATGGACACAGTCACTCAACATTTTATCCCTTTATATTCATTAACCTGAGTAGGTGAATATCACAATGAGGCAAATCATGACAACAGGACCCTGTTGTAAAAATGTGTTTCAGGTGCATCTTAGACAACGTGAAAAGAAAACAATGTGGTTTACCTGCAAGACATGGTACCAGCATAGAAGGATAGCTGACTCTGGAAAAACCTTCTGCAAAGCATTTATTTCTGCAAAGTCTTTGTCAACCATAAATGCTCTACAGAAAAAAAGAAAACACTAAATGAGATTAAACAGTATGAAAATGTTTTTGCTATCTCAAAGCACCACTTCAATGCCAAATTAAACATTTCAACTCACAAGTAGATATATAAATACTGCATACAGCCTATAGGAATAACTTTAACAACTGGAAAGGAAAGTTTTTTGCAGCCCATGCTGCAGCTATAGCATTAGATTCTGGCATGTTATAACTTTTTTGAAAAGGAATTATTTCAAAATCAATAGCTGTCAATGTATTATTTACCTCGGGGAAGTTGGGAAATGCTCACAAACTATTCCAAGAACAGTTTCCAGGGTTTTCTGACTTTCGTTGCTGACAATAGCATAGGCCACAGGGACTCCATGCCCATGATCATCTCTTACAACAAGTGTGAATAAGGGAAATGAATACTGGTTAACGCAGTGCGTGGTGTCAACAAATACTAACTGTTTTGCATAGTTCTCCATGTTTGATTTCATTACAGGTGTCTGCAAAACAATCATTAGTTCTTGGTCAGATGTGTATGGTTGATAGAAGAGAACATGTTCTTGATGTTTTCCATTAAGTAAGGTATGTACAATTTGACTGTCTCCACAGTTAAAGTGCTTCTTCCTCATCATGCAGGTTCTAACACTGTCAATGTCACGTGGTGTGATAAAATGCTCTCTGTTGTGAAGATCTCTGTGTCCATGTTCTTTGGCCCATTTATGACATTCGGTTAGTATGATGGCTGGCTTAGTTCCAAGGGAAAGCAGTTCCTCAATCTTCCTCCTCAAATCACTGGAAATATTGTTGAAATGTGCGTCTTTTGGGTCCGAAGGATCATGCCCATCATACTTATCATATGTACGCTGCACGATGACTGTGTGGTCTTTCCAACATTTGAGTACTTTAAATGAAACATAGGCCTTACAGCCCACTGCTCTGTAGCTGTTTCGACTTTTTTTCCCAGCTCTGATGCAGTTGAATTTGTAATAGTCTCTTTTCCTGTCTTTACCTGAGGCAACATTTAAACATTTATAATGTCCATGAAGGGTTAATGAGTTCAATTTTTCTAACACAACACTGAATGGGTCCTCCTGGCATTGTGAAACATGCACACAAAGTTGTGTGTCTTTTCCAGTTCTTTTTTTTTCGTCATTCAGAACACTTCTTCTAATTATGTCGTCCATTTCTGGTGGAAAAATAACGAAGGTTTAATTAGTCAATATTCATTAATTCATTTTAACTTGTTGTGGGGTTTTTTGCAATACAATGTAAATATTAAATATAATATTAAAAAAAAAAATATATATAAAATAATATAAAAAAAACAGGGGCTAAAAGAAGCTAAACTTTCATATGGTATGTCTCTGGCAACTTTAACATGATGTCTCAGGGACAACATCTACGCGATGTCCCTGGGCAACTTCTACATGATGTTCCAGGGACAACATTTACGCGATGTCCCAGGGACAACATTTACGCGATGTCCCAGGGACAACATCTACGCGATGTCTCAGGGACAACATTTACGCGATGTCCCAGGGACAACATCTACGCGATGTCCCAGGGACAACATTTACGCGATGTCCCTGGGACAACATTTACGCGATGTCCCAGGAACAACATCTACGCGATGTCTCAGGGACAACATTTACGCGATGTCCCAGGGACAACATCTACGCGATGTCCCTGGGACAACATTTACGCGATGTCCCAGGGACAACATTTACGCGATGTCCCAGGGACAACATTTACGCGATGTCTCAGGGACAACATTTACGCGATGTCCCAGGACAAATTTGTAAATTTCTGGATTACTGTTAATCTCCATAGAATCAAGAACTCATGTCCAGTTTCACAGCTATGGACCAGTTAATTATGTTTCCAGGTGATAGTTTGATTCATAGATTCAGCACACAACCATAAGTCTAGGCCTTTTAGTCCAGATTCTCTTCACTTATGTTTGTAAAATGATCAGGGAAGCTACTGCAATTTTGCCTGACCCAACCCCCGGGCCACGAAACACCCAAAAAGTTGGGGAACGCTGGTCTAGAGAACACTGGTTAGCTAATGCTGTCGTCAAGTAGCCTATCGCTAGCAAGCAAACAGCAAGCCAAGTGAGGAACATATGTATAATGCTTACCGTTTATTAAAGGAAAGTATCCTAAATTGACTTCAAATTCGGCGGACAGGCGGCGGTTTTTCGCTTCTTCACTTGTATTTCGAAGGCGGGTATTTCGAAGTCGCAAAGGAATGACGTCACAAGAAGGTGATTGGTCACTTGCAATGTTGAACCTGGAACAACATTAATTATGATGATGTGGGAACAATGCTGACACGAGGAAATCAGATCGTCCGTGAAACCTAGCCTCACCTTATCATGCAAATTCCTGAGGTCAGATGGCCCAGGATGTGAGTGGGCGTTAAGGTGTCTGGGGAGGGAACTCAAAACTGGATTATAGATGGTCTTGGCTCAGGCGATTAGAGGATCATCGTTAGTTGCTTCACTCAACAGCCCGACTTTAGATGAATGATTCTGACAATCTAAATTTTCTTTCTTATTGAATGCACCTGCTGTGGAAAGTCGTACAAGGACTGTGCATGGACTTACCCTGTACAGAAGGCGACTACAAATGTTACCCAGGCTTAATACACAGAAAAAATTATCCCTGTTGTCTTTGCTCAATGATTGGTTTAAGTGTTGACAATCCAAAATTGCTAGCATTGCATCTTTCAACGTGTTTATGGGTAGATCTGAATGCACCAGGTTTAAGTGCAGCCACTCAGCCTCTACTCAAGGTGGTCATAGAACCAGGTGCAGATGGTCACTAGTTAATCTGGTAGTAGTATGGCACTTGGCCACAGGTGGCAGTAGTGGACTAAACTCCATTTGAGACTGCCCCAGCTGCTATGTGATACGTCAGTAGATCAGCTACAAATTGAAGATCATATGCAAGTTTTGGAAATTAAACTATGAATATTCTTAACTTGGCTTTAAAACTAAAAATCTCTAAATCTCTAACCTCAAAACTAAAAAAAAAACACATGGCAAACCACCCGACAAATAAATACATAAACCCATTTCTTTGACCGTCACCAGTTAATTTACAATGCCAATTAATCTAGAACACCGGCCCTATTTCAACTTCAGCTGACAGTATCTCACTGTATATATATTTTTTAATGGAACAACACTGAAGATATGACACTTCGATACAATGCAAAGTAGTCAGTGTAGAGCTTGTTCAACAGTGTAAATTTGCTGTCACCTTTATATAACTCAACACACAGCCATTATTGCCTAAACCCATGGCAACAAAAGTGAGTACACCCCAAATTGTGCCCAATTAGCTATTTTCCTTTCCAGGTTTCATGTGACCTGTTAGTGTTACAATGTCTCAGGTGCAAATGGTGAACATGTGTGTTGAATTTGGTGTTATTGCTCTCACACTCTCTCATACTGGTCACTGGAAGTCTAACATGGCACAACATGGCAAAGACTTCTCTGAGGATCCGAAAAAAAAAGAATTGTTACTCTACATAAAGATGGCCTAGACTATAAGAATATTTCCAACACCCTGAAACTGAGAAGCAGCACAGTGGTCAAGACCATAAGGCAGTTTAAGAGTACAGGTTCCACCCAGAACAAACCTCACCATGGTTAACCAAAGAAGTTGAGTGCACGTGCTCAGCATCATATCTAGAGGTTGCCTTTAGAAAATAGCTGTATGAGTGCTGTCAGCATTGCTGTAGAGGTTGAAGGCATGGAGGGTCAGCCTGTCAGTGTTCAGACCATATGCCACACACTGCATCAAATGGTCATTGTCCCAGAAGGAAGCCTCTTCTAAAGATAATGCACAACAAAGCCTGCAAACAGTTTGCTGAAGAAAAGCAGGCTAAGAGCATGGATTACCGGTACCTGTGATCTGATGAAACCAAGACAAACTTATTTGGTTCAGATGGTGTCAGGGGTGTGTGGCAGAAACCAGGTGAGGAGTACAAAGACAGTGTGGCTTGCCTCCAGTCAAGCATGGTGGTGGGATGCCATTGTTTGGGGCTGCAAGAGTGCTGCTGGCACTGAGGAGCTACAGTTAATTGAGGTAACCATGAATGCCAATGTACTGTGACATACTGAAGCAGAGAATGATTCCCCCCCAAAACAGTGCCCTGTTAAATAAACTGAGGTTAAAGGTACTTGACTGCCCAACCATGTCTACAATCTTAAACCCTATTGAACATCTGTGGGGCATCCTCAAATGGGAGGTGGAGGAGCACAAGGTCTCTAACATCTACCAGCTCCATGATGTCATAATGGAGGAGTGGAAGCGGACTCCAGTTTAGTTCCGGTTTAGACATCAATGGCTCTATGTTGAGTTATTTTGAGCAAATTTATACTGTTATACAAGCTGTACACTGACTACTTTACATTGTGTCAAAGTGTCATATCTTTAGTGTTGTACCCATGAAAACATATAATAAAAT